GGAGGATCTTAAAGAGAAGCTACTAAAGTTAGACATTTTTAAATCAGCAAGTCCAGATAACTTGTATCCAGTAATTTTAAAAGAACTGGCTGAGGAGCTCACTGGACCATTAATGTTGATTTTTAATAAGTCTTGGAGCACTAGGGAAGTTCTGGTAGACTGGAAGAAAGCTAATGTTGGCCAATATTTAGAAAGGGTAAATGGTTTTACCTAGTTATTTATAGGCCTGGCTGTTTGACATCAGTCCTGGGCAAGATAATGGACCAGCTGATACAGGACTCGATTATAAAGAATTAAAGGAGGGTAATGTAATTAATGACTTTCCAAATTGGTTTATGGAAAGTGGATCCTGTCAAACTAATTTGATATCTTTTTGTGGTGAGATTACAAATTTGGTTGATAAAGCTAATAGTGTTGACGTAAACATACTTATAAACTTCTGTAAGGCATTTGACCTGGTACCACACAACGTTTTGATTTAAAAAAACAAATAACCTAGAACAATATAAAATTAACTTGTCACACACAAAATGGACTAAAAACTGGCTGTTTGGTCTCAGTATGTCCCAATAAATGGGAAATAATCAAGCCTGTGTGTTTTTGGTGGGTTCCTTCAGGGATCGTTTCTTGGTTCTATGCTATTTAACATTGTTATCAGTGGCCTGGAAGAAAACATAAAATCATCATTGATAAAATTATAGAGGACACAAATATTTGGGGAATGGTAAATAAGAGGACAGGTCACTGATTTAGAGTAACCTATATCACTTGGTAAACTGGGCACAAGCAAACAATATGTGTTTTAATGCATGTAAATGAATCCATCTAGGAATGAAGCATGTAGGTTATATTTACAGGATGGGGGAAGTCTATCCTGGGAAGCACTGACTCCAAAAAAGATTGGGGGTTGTGGTGGATAATCAACTGAATATGAGCTCCCAGTGTGACACTGTGGCCAAAAAAGCTAATGCAGTCCCGGGCTGCATTAACAGGGGAATCTGGAATAGGAATAGAGAGGTTATTTTACTTCTGTGTTTGCCACTGCTGCTGGAATACTGTGTCCTTTTCAGGTGCTCACAATTGAAGAAGGATGTTGATAAATTGGAGATGGTTCAAAGAAGAGCCACAAGAATGATTAAAGGCTTAGAAAACATCCCTTGTAGTGCTAGACTCAAGGAGCTCCATCTATTTAATTTAACAAAGAGAAGGTTAAGAGGTGACTCGATTAGTTTGTATCAGTGGTTTTTAACCTCTTTTCATTTGTGAACCCCTAAAATATTTCAAATGGAGGTATGGATCCTTTGGAAATCTTAGATGTAGTCTGTGGACCTGCAGGGGTCCGCGGACCACAGGTTGAAAACCACTGTTCTATAAGTACCTGTATCGGGAACACATCTTGATAATGGGCTTTTCAGTTTAACAGAGAAAGGTATAACACTGTCTAGTGGCTGTAAATCAAAGCTAGACAAATTCAGACTGGAATTATGGTGTAAATTTTTAATGGTGAGAGTAATTAAGCATTGGAACAGTTTGCCAAGGATTCTCCATCAGTGGCAATTTTAAAATCAAAATTGGATATTTTTCTAAAAGATCTTCAGAAATTATTTTTGGGAGGTTCTGTGACCTGTTATATAGGAGGTCAGACTAGATATCACAATGATTCCTTCTGACCTTGGAATGTATGGATTTAGGGACAATATATTCTCTGACAAGTGCATTTTGTTTGAGTACTCCTTTGGGTTTCCACTTCCTTGTGGTGGGATGGAAAACCTCAAAAAAGGTTTGTGGGGGAGCTGAGGATTAGAGTACAGTCCAATTACTGTTGTTGTCCTGATTGATGCCAGGGTTTTGGGGAGGTGGTTCAGAGTCTAGTTTTCAGAAGTCAGTTTTTGTTGGGCCTTTATTTGTTAAACAATTCTGACTGCAATTGTCAGTCTTCCCTTTGCATCTCCCTCTCATTCCTTATATATTTTGAATCATTTCCTTGTCCTTCTACTGGAATCATTCCTTCCTTTTCATTAATTTAAGATTATTGTCCTACCTTTTGGTGATAATTACTCTTATTTTATACTCCTTCAACCAAGTCTGAATCGTTGTTTTGTGTACCAGTGCACCTCCATGAAAAATCTTTCTCTGCTTTTCCTCCTCTTTGACATCACATTTTGTAAAGCATTCCACCACTGTAGATACAGTCAATCTGTTTTCACCAAGCACATTGCAGGAGTTAGCCTAACAGTGAGAAATAAGAAACAATTAACATCCATCTTTTGGTATTCCAAAGAAACAATCTCAGTTCAGTTTCAGTTTTCCAGTGCCTACTTGGAAGCCATTTTCTCTTTGGACTAGAAATTGAAGGGATAGCGTACTACAGGGATGTTGTCATTATCCCAAAATCAAGCAGTAAAAATCAGGAAACCCAAGTTGAAATACTATTAAACGCTAAAATGTTAAGGTATGGAAATACACAGTTGGCCCCTAAACAACCATAACTCCACCCTGATTAACATTTTAAATCAGGTCCAGATAACCTGAACCCGAGTTGTCTGGGGAGCTGTTTGGATTGTTGGTGTTAGATTTTCAATAAATCTTGGAATTCAGGGAAAGCTTGACAGTACTGGAAGAAAACCAATGTGCCTAGTTAGCTTGACATACTCTTGGACAAAATAATGGGATGGCTGACAAGGGACTCTCAGTAAGGACCTCAAAGCTGGTAACTGATGCCATTCAACAAAATAAAATGCAAAATGGGCCCTTTCAGATGGGCTTGGTAATGTAATCGTTTCAAAAAACAAGTTTGATAAGGGAATTGTGTTAACATAATCTTTTTTTGACTTGTATAGGTCATTTCACTTAATATGATAGAGCATTCTAATTAAAAATCAGTATTATGCAAAATCAATAAAGCACATTGAATGGATTAGAAACTAGCTAAGAAGTTAATGTAATTGTTAATAAGGAATCAAGAATAGTGTGTTTTTTTGGTTTTTTTTATGGGGGTGTCACTGGTTCTCAGGGCACTGCTATCTAATATTTTTATCAAAGATCTGGAAGAAAATTTAATTGCTGATTAAAATTTGCAGGGAGCAGTGGAGTGGTAAATAATGGTGGGAATAGATCACTGTTACATAGCCATTTGGATTGCTTGATAAATTGGGCAAGATGAAACAATATGCATTTCAGTTTGGCTACATGCAAAGCCGTACATCTAGGAACAAAGAATGTACATCATTCTTACAGGATGAGGGACTTGGTCTTAAAGATGTAGTGCCTATCTTTAAAAAAGGGAAGAAGGGGGATCCGGGGAACTACAGGCCTGTCAGCCTCACCTCAGTCCCTGGAAAAATCATGGAGCAGACCCTCAAGGAATCAATTCTGAAGCACTTAGAGGAGAGGGAAGTGATCAGGAAAAATCAGCATGGATTCACCAAGGGAAAGTCATGCCTGACTAACCTAATTGCCTTCTATGATGAGTAACTGGCTCTGTGGATGAGGGGAAAGCAGTGGACGTGTTATTCCTTGACTTTTTAGCAAAGCTTTTGATATGGTCTTCCACAGTATTCTTGCCAGGAAGTTAAAGAAGTATGGGCTGGATGCATGGACTACAAGGTGGATAGAAAGCTGGCTAGATCATCGGGCTCAAAGGGTAGTGATCAATGGCTCCATGTCTAGTTGGCAGCTGGTATCAGGCAGAGTGCCCCAAGGGTCGGTCCTGGGGCTGGTTTTGTTCAATATCTTCATTAATGATCTGGAGGATGGCGTGGACTGCACCCTCAGCAAGTTTGCAGATGACACTAAACTGGGAGGAGTGTTAGATATGTTGGAGGGTAGGGATAGGATACAGAGGGACCTAGACAAATTAGAGGATTGGGCCAAAAGAGTTCAACCAGGTTCACAAGGACAAGTGCAGAGTCCTGCACTTAGGACAGAAGAATCCCATGCACTGCTACAGACTAGGCACCAAGTGGCTAGGCAGCAGTTCTGCAGAAAAGGACCTAGGGGTTACAGTGAACGAGAAGCTGGATATGAGGCAACAGTGTGCCCTTGTTGCCATGAAGGCTAACGGCATTTTGGGCTGTATAAGTAGGGGCATTGCCGGCAGATCGAGGGACGTGATCATTCCCCTCTATTTGACATTGGTGAGGCCTCATCTGGAGTACTGTGTCCAGTTTTGGACCCCACACTATGGTTAGGGGGCTGGAGCACATGACTTATGAGGAGAGGCTGAGGGAACTGGGATGATTTAGTCTGCAGAAGTAAAGAATGAGAGGGGATTTGATAGCTGCTTTCAACTACCTGAAAGGGGGTTCCAAAGAGGATGGATCTAGACTGTTCTCAGTAGTAGCAGATGACAGAACAAGGAGCAACGGTCTCAAGTTGCAGTAGGGGAGGTTTAGGTTGGATATTAGGAAAAACTTTTTTACTAGGAGGGTGGTGAAGCACTGGAATGGGTTACCTAGGGAGGTGGTGGAATCTCCTTCCTTAGAGGTTTTTAAGGTCAGGCTTGACAAAGCCCTGGCTAGGATGATTTAGTTGGGGTGTTGTCCTGCTTTGAGGGGGGATTGAATTTTGAATTTTTGCTGATATTATGTATATTTGTACTCCAACTTAGTTTATTCTATTGTGGCTATAATACTGACATGGTCAGGCAAACAATAAAGGTATATAGTCACCTGAAGATGCAGGTAGGCACCTAGTGGGATTCCAGAAGCACCTAATTTATATTGAAAGTCAATGAGAGTTAGGCACCTAATTTGCTTAGGCACTTCTGTAAATTGAAGTAGGTGTTTCTCTCTTTAGGTGCTTGGATACCTTTGTAAATCTGGCTTATAGCCCCCAGTCTTCTGGGTTGAATGTGGATTTCCAGAGGGCATCTAGTTCCTCTGTATCATGCAAAGATTGTAGATTGCACTGGCCTTGAAAATATCAAGTAATGATGGTTTCTGTACTTATATTTTCTGTGCTAACAATGACACTTTTAATTACTTTCATGTGTACTTAAGGCCTGATCTTGAGAGGTGCTGAGTACCCTCCGTTCGATACACTGATGGTAAGTATTCTATTAAAAGCTTTGAGAGAGATGCTGGTAGATTGAAGTATTTGGGAGATGAATGTGCTCAGCATCTTCTAGTTGCTGAGAATACATTGTGTAACTGAAACTTAAATTTATTCTCTTCCTAAAACAGAATTGTAAATCATTTTTAAATAGAATTTTAAATTGAACTACAAAATCTCTAAACGTTTTTTTTTTTTTTCTATTTTAACTGCCCAAAAAGTCAGGAAATGAAAATTTAGGCATTAATAGTAATTTAGCACAATTACGCAGCCAGTATTTATTATATACACCTAAACATTCATGATTTAGACATTGGAAAGCAAAACAGGAATAGCAGGTAAAAGAATTATTACTCTAAGAACCTTAATTCTTATCTCATTCGTTTAGAGCATTTAAGTCATAATCTTAACATCCCTTTAGTGTAGGTATTTAAACAAATTATTTCCCCCCCAGTAAATGGGAAAATCCAAAATAATGGGGGTTGGGGAGCTCACAAGTGCATCTTGAATGGAAATGCTCAGGTTTGTGAAACTTTTGAGTACATTCTTAATGGAAATTATTGGGTCTGAGCAGTTATATAGAACTGCTGTTTTCAACAGCAGGGTTTAATCCACATGAGTAGCTGTGCTGGAGAGAGTCTCCCTCTTGTGGTTCTGCTTCACAGGAGCATAAGATTTCTGTATCAAAATAAATAACTTTTAATTCTACTTTCAATAAAGATTTTTATACTTTAATTTTCAGTAAATTCTGTTTCAGATCATACAACTTGTGTGTCAGGACAAATAGTAAATTTAAATTGGATTAAAAAAGTATACAAAATAATTAGAATTGTTTCAACAGCTGTAGCATTCACTTCATTTTCACAACACCCTTGAAAATGGATACATATGTACTATTATCCCCATTTCACAAATTGGGGAAACTGAAACCAAAAGACAAAGTGATTTTGCTGAAGGCTATATAATGAATCTGTGATAGGATTAGGATTCTATTCCTCGCTCCTAATCCTGTACTCATTTCTGCAGACTTGCTAAGCATCCAGATTCCTTTGACATCAGTTCTGTCTGAATATTTCTGGAAATCAGGCCTCAGGTGTGTCAAATTGGATACCCAAAAAGGAGGCATGCCCATTTAGTGGCCACCTATAGAAAATTGTGGGTCAGGGGATTTGTCCAGCTTCATGTATGAAGAACCACATATAGAACTGAACTTCTGTTGGGCGGAGGGGCATTCAGAGCCTTGTTTCTAGTTGAATTTTTCCAGCTTCTCACCACTGGATCTTGCTATACCTTTGTTTGCTAGATTGAATGAAATATTTGTCCCCATGTAGGCACTTATAGACTGTGATTATGTCATCCCTTAATCCTTTTATTAAAACAAACAGATTGAGCTTCTTGAGTTTTTCACCATAAGGCATGTTTTCCAATCCTATAATCATTCTCATGGCTCTTCTCTGATCCTTCTTAGTTTCAGGCCAGAAGAGACCGTTTGATCATATAGTCTGACTCCTGTATATCACAAGCAGGGCCGGCTCCAGGCACCAGTGTAGCAAGCAGGTACCTGGGGCGACCAATGAAAAGGGGGGGTGGCATGCCCGGCCGTTCGTCGGCGGGGCCGTCACTCCCTCTCGGAGCGAAGGACCTGCCGCCGAATTGCCGCTGTAGAATGAAGCGGCAGTAGAGCTGCCCCCGCTTGCGATCACTACCTTTTTTTTTTTTTTTTTTTTTTTTTACTTAACCGCTTGGGGCGGCAAAAATGCTAGAGCCGGCCCTGATCACAAATCGTTCCATTTCACCCAGATATTGTTACATTGAGCCACCAAACCTGGGTTAGAATAAAACATTTCAGTTCTCAGGAGACTAAATTATAGTATGCCACAGACAGAGACCAGGAGAGACTGGTGCCTCCAGTGCCTGAGGTCCCTGCAATGGCAGGGAATTGACTAGATGAAACAGGCCCAGATGATCTCATCAGGCAATCCACGCTTCATGCTGCAAAAATACGTGAACCCTGTTCCTAAGGTCTCTACCAGTCTGATTTAGGGAAAATGCCTTCCTTACCCCAAATTAGTTTGACCATGAGCTTGTGAGCAAAACTCACATGTGAGAGACATGTAAGAGAGGATTATCTGAACCACCTCAGAGCAGTGGCCAATCTCTGATTCTTCAGAGGAAGGCACGTAGAGATAACCCAGAATATATCTAGCCAATTGTGCATTGGAAGAAAAAATTCCTTTCTAACCCCTGCCAGTGATTGATGCCCTGAAGCATGGGATTTGATTATAGTCATTATCTTAATGCAGATCTGCAAGTGTTATGAGTATGTTGAGGCCAGTGCAGGCAATCCTCTTTTTCCCCATTGCCCGTGAATCATAGAATCATAGACTCCTAGAATATCAGAGTTGGAAGGGACCTCAAGAGGTCATCTAGTCCAACCCCCTGCTCAAAG